GGACAGCTGCTAGAAACATGGCAGTGTTATCTTTTCACTTTGCCCACTTAAAAAACAAAAAACAGAAATGGGATTATTTGGGTAGTCCTAGAGCATTTTAATTGCTTAATAATAAATTCTTTTCATTGCAAAACGTATAGATCTACATTGTCAATTTTAAGGCTGCCATAGTTGTCCACTTTATTAATGGAATCTTAGGTTGGCGACACCAGAAAAAATAATAATAACATCCACTTACTGAACATCTAGCATGTGTGTGTCATGCTAATCACCAGTCATGTGAGGTACATACAGTCATCCCAGTTCACGGATGAGAGAAGCGAGTGACAGGGGTCAAGTGACTTGCCCGAGGCCACAGAACTATCGAGGCAGGATTCGAAGCCAGGTCTCCACGGCCGCTCGTAACCATGATGTTGGGCCGCCTGGTGGGGTCTCTTCCTGGGACCCTATATGTGTTTCCACCCAGAAATTCTGATGATTCTGTGGAGGCATTTTACCAGCTCCTTGTAGAAGGAAACGTTCTCCTGGGGTTGGCGGGATGGGATGGGGCAGTCCTCACCGTGCCTTCTGTCCATGGAAACGCTGGCCCGAGAGGGGAAGGGACTTGCCAGGGCCCCACTGCACGGGGGCTGCGCCGGACAGGAGTCCTGGCTTCTGAGTCCCTACCCGGGCCGTGGACAAGGCACGCAGATGCACAGGACGTCGGGTTAGAGGCCCAGCTCCCAAGGACGGGGCTGTGCCAGTGTGCTCACTGCTGTGCCTGTCTCCAGTCCAGGCCCGGGCCTGCGTGCAGGAGGCAGGAAGGGATACAGAGGATAAGGAGGCCTGGCAGAGGGCAGAGGGTCCCTGTGTAAGGCTTCTGAACAGAGCCCAGATGGGCTGAGGGCGAGTGGGTTTGGGGAAGCAGAGAGAGGAGCCGGTGGGCAGACCGCACGGCAGACGTGAGGAAGCAGGAAGGAGAAAGGGTAGGTCGGGGGCGGGATTGGCTCCATGAGAACATTGACCAGACAAAGGGTCTGGGAGGCTTTGAGCAGCCAGAGTAGGTCCATGGAGGCTCCGGTGCCAGCCTTTGGGGCAGTCCCCTAACCACCACAGAGCCCTGCCTGGGTAATTCCTGAACAGGAACAGAAGGAGGAAGTTGTTTAAGTGACACTCAGCCAGCCGGTGAGTGGGCAGCAGGGCTTGGTTTCATTTCCAGAAGAGCCATGGAGTTGTTGGGTTCGGCCACCCACCCCCACTCCTGCCCATGCCCTGCTGCCTTGGCCCTTGGCTCAGGGGACGGTAAACCCAAAGACCAGGAAGCAGGCATCAAGGCCAGGAAGTGGGGACATCCAGGGAGAGAGGCCTGACATGTCTCTTCTGCCAGACCAGCTTGTGAACTCTGGAGGCTGGGGCTGCAGCTTCCACGCCCTTCCTGCCTGGCAGACTCCTTCCCAGCCATTAAGACCCAAGCTCAATGTCCCTGGTCTAGGAAACTCCCCAAGAAGTCCCTACCAGAGCAAACTCACGAACCGCTCCCTCGCTGAGCTCCTCCGGCACTCAGACTGCACGTGCAGTGAACCAGGCGCTGTGCTAGGCGGCCCGCAGCCGCGACCCCTTACTGGATCCTCTTGGTGTCATCTGGTCGGTTCTGACCCCAGCTCCATTTCAGCAGCATCGTGAGGCAGAGCACGTTCTCATGGGTGGCAGATGGTGGGACTGTGTCTTCCAGATACTGAAGCTTGTAACTCTCTGTCCCCCCTGCTCAGGGTGTTTCAGCATCTGCTTCTGCTTCTGGCTTGAAAGCCTCCAGTGGGCAGGGTCTGTGTCCCTGGACAACTGGTCCCCGGATAAATCTTTGAACCTCTCCATCTGCCTTCATCATGACAATGACCCAGGCTTGGTGCCTTGTATACAGTAAATAAACTCTTTTTTTAAAAAAAATTATTTTTATTAATTTATTTTTGTTACAGATGTTTCTCCTTTTTCCCCCATTGACCCCCTTCTCCCCACCCCATCCCCAGCTTTGTTGTCCATCTCCATTGGTTATGCATACATGCATATAAGTTCTGTGGTTTATCCTCCCCCTACCACCCCCTCTACTGAGTTTTGTCAGTCTGTACCCTTCTTCCAGTGTCTGGGTCTGTTTTGATCATCAGTTTGTTTAGTTCATTATATTCCACAAATAAATGAGATCATGTGATATTTGTCTTTCTCTGCTTGGCTTGTTTCACTTAGGATAATACTCTCCAGGTCCCTCCATGTTGTCTCAAAGGATAAGAGATCTTTCTTTCTTACAGCTGCATAGTGTTCCATTGTGTACATGTACCACAGCTTTTTTTTATTTTTTTATTTTAGTTACAGATATTTCTCCTTTTTTACCCCTTGGCACCCTCCTCCCCATCCCCGGCTTTGATGTCCATGTCCACTGGTTATGTGTACATGCATATAAGTTCTGTGGTTTATCTCTTCCCACCCCCACCACCCCCTCTTCTGAGGGATGTCAGTCTGTACCCTACTTCCATGTTTCTTCTACCGTATTCCTCAGACTGTTATGTTCATTATATTCTGTATATAAGTGAGATCATGTGGTATTTGTCTTTTTCTGCTTGGCTTGTTTCACTTAGGATAATACTTTCCAGGTCCCTCGATGTTGTCTCAAAGGATAAGAGATCTTTCTTTCTTACAGCTGCATAGTACTCCATTGTATATATGTACCACTGCTTTTTTATCCATTCGTCTACTGATGGACACTTGGGCTGTTTCCAGATCTTAGCTATTGTAAATAGTGCTGCTATGAACATGGGGGTACATATATTCTTCCTGATTGGTGTTTCAGGTTTCTTAGGGTACATTCCTAGAAGCGGGATCACTGGGTCAAATGGAAGTTCAATTTTTAATGTTTTGAGGTAACACCATACTGTTTTCCACAGTGGCTGCACCAGTCTGCATTCCCACCAGCAGTGAACTAGAGTCCCATTTCCTCCACACCCTCGCCAACACTTGTTGTTTGATGATTTGTTGATGGCGGCCATTCTGCCAGGTGTGAGGTGATACCTCATAGTTGTTTTAATTTGCATCTCTCTGATGATTAGTGATGTTGAGCATTTCTTCATATGTCTCTTGGCCATTTGTATGTCCTGTTTGGAGAGGTGTCTATTCAGCTCCTCTGCCCATTTTTTAATTGGGTTCTTTGTCTTCCTTTTGTTGGGTTGGTACCACAGCTTTTTTATCCACTCATCTACTGATGCAGTAAATGAATTCTTGTGACATAGAGGAACCTTTATCCTAGTCCAGGCTGCCATAAACTTTCAGTATGACCTTGGGCAAGTCATTTCCATTCCTCTGGTCTTCAGTTCCCCCAACTTTAGAAGGAAATGTTTCGAGACAGCTCTCTTGGCTTCTTGCCTGCCCTAAAATTCTGTCTTTTGCTCTAGAACATAACGTGGCATATACCCCACAACCAGTTTCTGCTATTTTTCTTTTTAAATCTTCACCTGAAGATATTTTTCTTCAGAGTGGGAGAGAGAGAGAAACATAGACGGGAGAGGGACACATAGACTCGTTGCCTCCTGCACCACCCCAACCAGGGCCGGGGACGATCCACAACCAAGGTACGTGCCCCTGACTGGAATCGAACCCGAGACTCATTGGTCTGAGAGCTGCCGCTCTGCCGCTGAGCCTAACCAGCGAGGGCAGTTTCCACTGTTTCTAGCATCTTTTATTACAGCTGATGAACCAACACTGATACATCATCATGAACTAAAGCACACTGGGAGTTCCTCCGTTTTCCCCTAATATCCTTTTTCTGTTCCGGGACCCCACTCAGGATGCCACATCGCACGTACTCACCGTGTCTCCTTCGGCTCCTCTTGGCGGTGGCCGTTTCTCAGACTTGCCTTGTTTCTGATGACCTTGGCCATTCTGAGAACGTGGGTGCCTTTCTACAATGTCTCTCTATTGCCATTTGTTGGCTTTTCTCATGACTACAGTGGGATAATGGGTCCTGGGGAGGAAGACCACAGAGGTGAAGGGCTAATTTCCTCACATCACATCGACGGGACAGATATTCACGGTGTCCTTCCCCTGTTGCTGCTGACCGTGATCACCAGGTTTCTCCACTCTGTGAAGCTACTCCCTCCGCCCCTTTTCCATGCTGTCCTCTCTGGAAGGAAGTCGCTGTGAGCACAGTCCCTACCTAACCAGTAGGGAGTTAAGCTCTCCTTCCTGAGGGCAGAGTACAGGATTAGCATTTTTTTCTTCTCTCATATCTGCTTTTTGAAGTACTCCTACAGAACATTGCTACATTCCGTCTCCCCAACCGGCCTGGGCCAGGTGGGAGATGGAGACATTCCGCGAGGTGGAAGGCAAGGCTGGAGTGGGAGGTCTGGGACTGGGTGGGGCTCTGGGGCCCGCCTGTCCCTCCTGGGTGTCCGCTATGAGGAGCCAGGCTCATGGGAGGTTGGGCAGGACAGAACTATGGAGCCCGAGTTTCAGACCCAGGAGGGCTTGAATTCTTCCTGGGTTTGGATCTGAGGTCCCGCCCGCCCGCCCTCCCTCCCCGTGGCGTGTCACCTTGCCTCGCCTCTGTTTCCCTATCTGTGCAATGGGGATAACAACAGCTCTGACATGCAGTGCTGTGAAGAACACGTGTGACGTTCCACACAGAGCCCCTGGAGCAGGGCACTGCCCAGGAAACTCCGCACTTCGGGCCTGTGAGCTGTTGCTATGATGCTTATTGTTACAATTATTCTTTGAAGTTCTCCTGTTGCAGGCTGTCTCCTCTCTGCTCAGCAGGTTTCTAACCCCTCTGATCTGCGGGGTCACAGCCCTGGCTACAGATTTCCGCCCTGCCCTCTGCCCTCCTGCCAGGCCCGGCTGTTATCTTCTCTCACAGACCTTCTGAGCTATGGCGGAAGGAGGCTCGGGCTGGAGGGGGCCTGGCTCTGCCTGCCAGCGACTCTGTGACCTTGGGAGAGTGTCTGCCCCTCTTTGGGCCTCCACTGTCGCCTGAGGGGAGTGATGTGATGGCTGGCTGGCTTGCCCTGCACTTGACCTTGACAGAACATTGGAGAGGCCAGGCATCTCACCCATTATCACATGGGCCGGTCTTCTGTGTGTATGCCATCCCTGCTTTGTCTCCAGAATCTGGGGTGAGTAGAGAAGGGTTTGAGCCTCAAGCTTCCCATCTGCAAATTGGCCATACAGCCCCAGGTGAGGCTGTGAGGATTTCTATGTGTGGCTGTGCTCAGTGGGTAACACTGTTATTTGTAAAATTTCTTTAATGTCTTTTTCTTTACTGACTTTTTTAGAGCGAGAGGAAGGGAGAGGGAGAGAGAGAGATAGAAACATCGATGAGAGAACATCGATTGGCTGCCTCCTGCATGACCCCCACTGTTTAGCCCACAACCTGGGCACGTGCCCTGACCAGGAATTGAACTGGTGACCTCTTGGTGCATGGGTCGACGCTCAACCACTGAGCCACGCTGGTAGGGCTAACACTGTTATTTGTGTGTCTTCACTTGGGCTTCTCCTGCTCAGGTGCTCACTGTCTCCATCCCTTCCCTGGAGGGTGGGTGGATGCTGGAGCAACCTGCTGGCAGCTGGCACCCCCCCAGTGGCCGACTCTGAGGGAGAATATGCTTATCTGCTCTTGGCTCCTTCTGACTCACGGGGCGAGGGATGCTTCTCTAGTGTCCCGTGTTTTAGGCCTTTGAGCGAGTTTGTCCTCATTCCCTGGAACCAGATCTGGTTTGTTCACCACTGTATCCATAGCACCCGGCACAGACACCAGCACATAGTAGGTGCTCAGTAGATACCCATAGACCAGAAGAAGGAAGAGCGAGGCTTAGTCAGAGGCCAGGGGGTGGGGAGAGTTTCAGGCAGAGGGACCAGCAAGTGTAGAGGACTCAGGGAGGGAGGAGCTGCTCTGACGGAGGGATGGCAGGCTTGGCAGAGCTGGGAAGGGGACTAGGGCCTGCAGGGGAGGCCTGAGCGGCTGGCAAGGGCCCGCTGGGCAGATGCACTGACGGACCAGACATCTGTGTGTAGACTGTGCAGTGCAGGCCTATGGAGGGGGCAAGATCATTCCACAGGCTCAGTCTAGAGCCTGCACATTTTTCCACCCTGACCTATAGCTCTGAGCCAGGTGGCTTTGGATAGACTACTCAGAGCAAATCACCTGGGGAATGACAGGGTTGGGCTGGAATCTGCCACACCCTGCCTGTCATGGGTCCAACCTCCTGGTCACTGCTCCAAGGGCTTAGGGTGGGCACAGCAAATAGACCACCATTAAGCCAGAGCCACCAGGGCCCTGGGTGAGATGCGGACAGCGCCCTCGATCCAGTGTCATGAGAAAGCTCTTGCCAAAGGGTCTGCTGCCGGTTGTGTGGAGCCCGGCCTCATTCCACAGTCTCCATCCTGCCCTCAGGTGTGACTTTGACCCAGGTGGGAGGAAGGAGGGAAGAAGTTTTTAGAGACAGACAACTGTACGACAGGTGTTCACCAACTCAACAATGCTGACATTAATATCTGTCATCTGTTGGGTGCTTTGGGTTGGAAAATTGTCCTTCTTGGTGTTCCAGACCTGGCCCAGGGCTGTGTATAACATTGGCAGTCAATAAATGTTTACTGTCCATTAATGATGATGAGTGATTTGCAGGTACTAAGCAATGAATTGCTATTTTAATAACAATGTTTTAAGCAAAATAATGCAGAAAGTCACTTATCCATCAAGCCAGACCACCAACTCTTGCCTCTGCATAATCCTGGGAGTTCGTGGAGTTGTTGCCCCACTTCATTGATGAGTAAACTGAGGCTCAGAGAGGCCCAGAGAGGGCAGTGTTACACAGTCAATGAATGAAAGAGTTGGAACTTGAACTCTCTGTGTGGATCCCTAGTCAGTATGTTCTCCCCAGCCAACTGGCTGGCATCTGCTCCGTGCTGGGCATGGGCCAGGCCACAGTCCCCGCCTTCAGGGTAAGGACAGACACACCCTGAATGGATGGGGATACCCTGATGGATAAGGTGTGCCTCCATCAGGGAGTTTTCAGGAAGCATTTCCTGGAGGATGCAGCATTTAGTTAGGATCTTGATGGATAGGGAGGGTTGGGAAGCTAACGATATGGGGTGAGCATTCCTGGAAGGGCAAAGGCCCAGAGGGATGGTTGAAAATAATGAATATTTCCAAAGCTCAATAATAAAACCATTGTGCTGGCTCCATCCTCTTGAAGTGCCTCCTGAGAGCCTCAGCAGCTGAGACAAGCCCTCGGAGCCAGTAGTGGTTCCAGAGAGAAGGCTGCATCTGTGCTTGCACAGCCGAGACTTGTAGACGACCCCCGCTGCTCCAAGAGGGGGAGGGGTGTGAGTGACAAGGGCTCACACATACTGAGCTTACAGCACCTCATTTCATCCTAATGTGAGTCTTCTGAGGGAAGCACCGTGTGTAGCCCATTTTGCAGGCTGGCATACCGAGGCTCAGAGAAATGGTAGACTTGAGGTCACATATCCAAGAAGTGGCAGAGTTGGGACTTGAACTTAGGTCTGTGGGCCCAAAGTCTCTGCTTTTAAGCCCTCTGTCATTTGCTCCAGGAGCCCAGGACTTTTAGTTGAACTTTTGGGGATAAATCTAGTGATGTGCTGGTAAATCTTTAACAACAAGCTCTCAGAAAGGAAAAAAATAGCCTTGATTTGTCGTGTTTGCCAATTTCCAAGGTGTAAATACTCCCACGGTGGCTGATATCAAGCTACCAATCATTGAAGTTGAAGTTGGGAAAAGATGGACACAATTTGCTCTTCCAGCACACCACTGGATGAATATCCCATCCCTAGCCCAGCGTGGCCAGTAAAGACCTTTAGACATGTCTGAAGAATGAATGAGGGTTGAGAAACCTGCTCCTCCACCCAGGGGCCCACTCAGAATCCTGGGAAGCTGAGGTTAATCTTTAAGCCAGCCTTGCAAACAAGTGAAGCCGTGTCACCAGCCGAGGATGGCCTCTGGTCCTGGCTCTGCTGCAGACAAGCTATGTGACTTCCAGCAGCCCCTCCCCCTCAAGTCTCAGTTTACCAAGCATAAAAGCTACCATTTGTTGGGCACAACCTCAAACACCCTCATACTTGTCAGTTTTAACCTTCTCAGGAGTCCTCTGTGACCATGTTCACTCCTGTGACTTGTGCTAGGTACAGCAGAAGGGCAACTGGCCTGCACTTGAACCCAGACTGGTCTGGCTCAAGGACTCACTCATTCCTGGTCTCCTGGGTGCTGTTTTTATACCCTGAGGGCTTTGCCTCCCATATGCTAGGGTTCTCCTCCCAGCTCTTCTCAGGAGGCGTCCAGGCCGGGTGCCATTGACCTGGCTGGGCCTTAGTTTCCCAGTGAGATGGGAAAACTTTCAGAGAAGGTAAGCGCAGGCAGCTGGTGGATTTAAAGCTGGATTCAGGCCAGCCTTCCCCAGGGCCATGATTCCAGGACAGGTGAAGAACTAAGGGTGGGGTGCTGACCCCCAGTGGGGCAGCCTGGGCCAGGAGGTGGTGGGGGTAGGGTGGGGTCAAATAGTGGAGGTGGGAGGCTTTGTGGCTAAAGTAGATTCCTCAGCATCCACTTTCTCTGCTTTATTGCCTGTCCCCTGCATCCAAAGGTACTTCTCTTTACTTATTTAAAAGGGCCTGGCCGGTGTGGCTCAGTGGTTGAGCGTCCACCCATGGACCAAGAGGTCGTGGGTTCGATTCCCAGTCAGGGCACATGCCCAGGTTGTGGACCCAATACCCAATTGGGGGGCATGCAGGAGGTGGCCAGCCCAGGTTGTGGACCCAATACCCAATTGGGGGGCATGCAGGAGGTGGCGAGCCGATGTTCTCTCTCATCGATGTGTTCTCTCTCTGTCATCAATAAAGATAAAAGAAAAATAAGATAGTTTAAAAGGGTAATTGCCACTAAATACCTGCTTCAGCCCACTTCTCATCAATAATATCCAGAACTTGATGACTCTGATGGGCTGCTTTAGTTACTTTTTTTAAAAAAAGCACATTAAAATAAACATGTATCTATAAGATAGAGGTTTCTTTTCCCCACACTGTCCCTCAGGCCCCAGTCCCCACTTTAGAAGACTAAGGTCAAGGCCAGGGTCCAAGGCCAAGGTTCTTGTCGGTGACACGCTTTTTCGTGCCTCAGTTTGCTCATCTGTAAAATGGAGATAATCATCCCCCAGTCCAGCTGGTTGTGAGGAACAGACCCTACGGTCTACCAGAGCCATTTAGCATGGCCCCTGGAAAGAAGTGAGCGCTCCACTAGTGCTGGTCTCATAACTGCAGGAGAGCTAGATTTGGGGTAAATAGGGTGAGTGGGCTGGGGAGAGTGAGGGAGGGCATTTCCACAGGAGGAACGGGGTCGCCCGGGGTGGGGCGTTCCTACCGGGCGGGGTGGGGGGGCGGGTCTCCTGCGCCCGGTGCCTCTGTCCCCCAACCCCCCGCCTCGCCCGGACCCCTGGCTCGAGCGTCTGGGGCCGCGCATGGGTCCCTCCCGAGTCACCGGCGGGGAATCCGTCCCCGCGCGCTTCCTCCTTCCTCCTCCTCCTCCCGGCTGCCTGCCGGCCCCTCCTCCCCGCTCGCGCGCTCCCTCCCTCCCTCCTGCACCCTCCCTCCCCGGGCCGCCGCCGCCGCCTCCTCCTCCCTTTCTCTCTCGATCTGTCTCTCCCGGCCCGGAATCCATTCCGGCCTGGGAGCCGGAGCGGCCTGGCCGCCGTCTGCCCGACCCCTGGCCGCCCGGCGGTCCGCCCTCCCGTGAGTGTGCCTGCTGGTGCGCCCTCCTGCCCGCCGGCCCAGGTGAGCGCCCCCCGCCCCTCCGTGGGCCCCGACCCGGCCGGCTTTGGGGAGCCCCCGCCCGGGGACTACCCTGGCGTCGGATCGCCGGGCCGTGGGGTCCCCCGCCCACCCCTCCAGCCCCCAACCCCGGGCCGAGCCGCGATCCCTGAGCGCCGGCGGGCGCACGGGGTTTTGCCCAGCTCGGCCTTTTGTTGTGATGCTGCGGGGGGAGGGGGCTGGGGGGGGGGCTCCGGGGTCCTGTCCGCGCGGGGACCTCCTCCGCCTCACCCTGCCCCTGAGAGCCCCCTGAGAGTAGCCAGCCCAGCCCAAGCCCTCAGGCCAGGTCTAGGCCAAA